AGAGGGCCTGTAAGAGGCCGACAGCCACCAGAGCAACGGAAACTTTAAAACCACAGGGAGACACGGCTACACGCCTATTAGAACGGCTGAAATTGAAAACGTCGGCGATACCTACGCACGGGGAGCCCCTGGGGCTTACACGTCCCCAGAGGGCGGGCCAAGTCCAGTGACGCTGAGCTGAAGAGCCAGACACGGCCAGTGTTCTGCGGCTCTGTTTCTGAGACTCCAGAACAGAGTGACCTACGTGACAGCCGATCTGCAGCTGGGGGGTGAAAGCAGAGTGACAAGGGAAACTCTGAATCTCGACCGGGGGTGGGGGGCGCACACAGGGCACATACTGTCAAAAGTCATCAAACCGTGTACTGCTCACTCAACACCGGTATGTTTTATTAAATGGAAAGTATCCTCAGTTAAGATTAGTTTTTTAGAAGTAGATGACTATGAAGCAAATTAGTGCAATGTGCACGGGGGTGCCTGGGGGGCTCAGTGAAGCTCAGGTCATGACCTGAGCCCCACGTAGGTTAGAGGCCCGCTTCGGGCTCCGTGCTGACCGCTCAGTGCCTGGAGCTGCTTCAGATTCTGTGTCTCCCTCTCTCTCTGCCCCTCCCCCACTCGCACTCTGTCTCTCTCACTCTCAAAAATAAACACTTAAAAAAATTTTTAATAAAAGTAGGTAACTACGAAGCGAATTAGTTCAGTATGAATAGATTGCTATGGAAAAAGCAGCAGGACCCATTACTAAATGAAAAGGAACAGTACGTGTGGTACATACACAGGGTGAGTTCATGGAGATCACTAAAATACTCGCCTACGTACACTGTGAAAAAAAAAGGGATAATGTTGACCAAGTGATAAAGGTAGTGTCTTGGGGCGCCTGGGTGGCGCAGTCGGTTAAGCATCCGACTTCAGCCAGGTCACGATCTCGCGGCCCGTGGGTTCGAGCCCCGCGTCGGGCTCTGGGCTGATGGCTCAGAGCCTGGAGCCTGTTTCCAATTCTGTGTCTCCCTCTCTCTCTGCCCCTCCCCCGTTCATGCTCTGTCTCTCTCTGTCCCCCAAAAAATAAATAAACGTTGAAAAAAAATTTTTTTTTAAGAAAAGGTAGTGTCTGAAGTCTTACAGGTGTTATTTTGTGAGCCCGTGCCCAAAACCGATAAAGATGCTCAAAAAAAACAGGTGATTTATTAAGAAACAAAACTCCAAAGTAGCACTGGTCATGAACGGAGCAGAAGGCCCAGCGGCACCTGAGGCCTCCAGGTGTGGCTTACTGACACCCGTCAGCCACCGGATGGGGAAGGGCCCCCAAGTCCAGGGGCACCTCCCTCAGCCCACCCACCTGCAGCAGCATTTGCAGACGCCCCACTGAAGACGCCTCCGGGACAGTAGGCCACCCCTGCAGCCACACCTCTGAGCACCCCTAGGGGTCGCCACGGAAATCAATGCCTTCCGGACTAGCAGCCTCTGGGGCAAATCCCGCCGCTGGCCGGCAGGTGCGCTTTCCCCAAACGGGAGGCGGGGGTGCTCACTCACGGTCCCCCCTACCCTGTGCTCAGGACGTGGGGCACAGAACAGGGACCCGCGGCGCCGGCCTCACCCGGGCACCTGCTGGAAATGCGGACTCCCAGGCCCAACCCGGCCCCACTGTGTCAGAAAGGACGTTAACCAGAGAACTGGGCCTTCCTCGCGGAGTTCCAGGAGGGCCGCTCCGAGACCAGACTGGCTTGCCGGCCAGGAGGAGCGCCCTCTGCCCACACTGGACACCGCGCCCTGACAGCGCTGCTCCCAGAGAGGCACTTCGGGGTCACGGACCCGCGGACGCACCCCCTCCCGGGGCGCCCCACTCACCTTGGCCCAGGCCAGTTTCTCCTGAATGGCAGTATTGTTGGGCTCCACGTGGCGCGCGAACTTGAGGTTGTTGATGGTATATTCGTGGCCGCAGTACACTCTCTGAGGAGAACAGCAAACTGTGAGTTCAGAGAGTCTCCGTGATCTGTCCTCAAAGCCCTCGCAGACACGCATGCGGGGCTCTGGGCCAGGTCCTTTTAGCGACACGCACCGAGGTGTCCCTGAGGACAACGGGCATTTCTCGCGCGTACGTTAAACAGCAATAAATAGTACAAGAAAAGCCACGCTTCCAGAGGAAATGCCTCTGCCTTCCCACTCTTCCCAACACGGGGGACAGGACGGGCGGGAGGTGAGGACCTCGCTCCGTGGGGCCCCACCTACCGTGTCTGGAGGGAGCCGGCCCAGGATCTCAAGCAGGGCTTTGTACATCTCGTCCGCTGTCCCTTCGTAGAACTTCCCACAGCCAGCCACGAACAAGGTGTCGCCTGCAAAACGGGACAGCCACGGAGCAGTGGGGGGCTGCCGGCAGGACACCCCCTGAGGGGCTGGTGGCCAGCTCCTGAGCTACACTGGACACCAAGCGTTCATGGCTGTACCCACAGCCAGCCTCTACCAGACCCCGATGGGCCACCCCCAACTGCCAGGTTGGACCCAGAGAGACGCCCAGCTCTCGGCTCCCGTGCCCCAAACTCTCCCGTCAAGTCTCGCTAACTGGCACTACCAGTCCCGCCAACAGCGGCTCAAACCCACCCCTTAGGGTCTCCCGACTCCTCCCTTCACTGTCCTAGCCTGTCCCCATAGCGCTGAGACCCCCACCAGCCCCTGTCCCCACCCACCAGCAGCCCTCCCAGGCCCACCTCCCTAAGGCACCTATTTTTTCTTTTTACTTCTTTATGATTGTGTTGGGGGTGGTTTTTTCTTGTCTTCAGTAATCTCTGCACCCAATGTAGAGCTCGACTCACAACCCCGAGACCGAGAGGCACGTGCCCCACGGACTGAGCCAGCCGGGGCCCCTCCCCAAGTCTCCTCTCATCCTGGGCGGCAGTGCCAGCCCATAGAACCCCCGGGATCCCACCGGCCACCACCCGGGCCCTCAAGACCCGAGCCTGCCGCCTCACAGACCCCCTTCCTGCCTCAGCCCTTTAGAGGGGCGTCCCCTCCTCCTGACATCCCTGCTCCTGACCCACCTCCACCCTCTTCCTGACTCCCCTCCTGGCCCTCCTCCAGACACCCCTGCTCCTGACCCTCCTCCTTCTGACCCTTCTCCGGATACCCCTGCTCCTGACCCTCCTCCTGACTCCCCTCCTCCTGACACCCCTGCTCCTGACCCCCACTGAGGCTCTGTGGGCTGCTGCTTCCCGCCCTGGGTCCTCCCTGAGAAGGGCTCCGTGCCAAGCGGGGGCTCAGGCACCGTTGTTCTCCAGGCCCCGGTGGCGGGGAGTCCTCCTCCATCAGTGCAGGCCAGACTCTTCCCCGAGGTGGGGGTGGGGGGGCCGCTGGGACCACAACCCAGGACCAGGGTGCCACCGTGGGGCCATCACAGTGTGGTGCAGCACTGTCCCCACAAGATGACAGGACGTCCTAGTGGGGTCAGGACTGGGCTGTGCCCCTGAACAGCCCCACCAGGTAGGGTGAGTCAGAACCAGCTAGAAGCCAGAGAGACCACAAAGGAGGCCGGGCTGCACACAGGAACAGGAGACTCGGGGGCCCGGCCTTCCCCTATTTCCACACCGGGACCTGCCGGACGTCCCGGTTCCCACACGTTGAGTCCTCACCGTCCGTGCCATGGACACCTGAGCTGCGCCACGAGGGCACACGCGACTTGTCACGTACAACACGCCCCCGCCGGCCGTGGTCTCACGGAGGACACACGCACCGCATGGGCCTGGGCTCAGACCGGGGTCTCTGCGCAGGCAGACCCGCCTTTCAAGGCGGGGACACGGCTTCTCCCCTCTGTGCCGTCCCGAGGGACCCGCCTCACTCCAACCCCCAAGAGCCCACCCGGCAGATGCGCAGACTGACGTCCAAGGACCCACCCGACGCAGCAATGACAGGGGCGCAGACTCTCCCGGGCCCGGTGCCCACCTGCCCCCGCACAGGCGGGCGAGGCCCAGAGCGAGCTCAGGGCTGCACAGCCCGAACTCGGGGTCACCCCAGGGACCACACCTCCTGCTGCTGCACCACCGAAGACACTGAGAACGGCTGCGGTCTTTAAAGTCGGCTTCGACGGGGGAAGAGGGGCTCACGAGCGCTGTGGAGGTCCCAGAGGCCCCGTGCACCCCACGCTCCGTCTGTGGTTTCCCCGAGTTAACGTCTCATGTCACCCGCGCCGCACCTGGCCGTTGACTGAGCCCCGCCGCAGAGCCGACATGGGTCCCCACCCGGATCCCCACACGCACCCGCCCGGCTGCAGAACCGCTCTGGGCCCCCACGCTGCCTCTGGCCGCCGCAGGGCCTGCTCGAGGCTGGGGCTGATACGCTCTGCCGCTCCGGTCCTCACCGGCTCCCCCATCAGCGGCAACATTCTCTCACTTTCTCTCCGAAGGGAAAAGCCCCTTCGACTGCTGGAAAGGCCAACCTGCCGGCCACTCACGCAGGCCGAGGCCGGGGGTGCATCCAAACAGCGGCCTTCCCGTGCTCTGCCCCCAGGGCTGCAGGCCCACTGCGGCCCCCTGCCACAGCCCTGCTCGGGAAGCCTGGCCGCAAACGCTCCGCTTCTCTGCCCCGAGCTCTCGGACAACCCTAAGTCACGGGGGTCTTTTAAAGTGCACCCCGCCCCAGCACGCACATCAGAACACTCCTCACCTGTGAACACAGCAGGAGGCTCAGAGCTCCCGGGCTTGCTCACGAAGTAGCAGATGTGGCCGGAAGTGTGGCACGGTGTCGACAGGCACTTGACGTTGAGAGACCCCACCTTAAACGAAGCACGCACTGGCATGGGCTCCCTGCACGCTGCGAACTCGCCCACGGGCTCCCAGGAGGCGGACCACCGATCCCACGGACTCCCCCTCAGACCCTCAACGCCCCAAGGAGAGCGCGGCTTCCATCACCACTGCTCCACTGAGCAGGACACAGATCTCGCCGGTGACCGTGGGACCCCGACCTCGAGGGCGCCCCAGAGGCGAGGCGCACCCTGCAACCTGGTGTTGCTGGTGTGCAAAAGCAAAGGGGCTTCTGCTTTCTTCCTCAACATCGGGCCAAATCTGAACCAGGTGTCGTGCTAGAAAAGCTAGCTTTCCTTCTTAAGTACTTGACCTTCCGTTTGGTTTTCCTTCTCTGTCTCCCACTGCCCCCCCTGCCAACTTTAAAAAAAAACTTTCAAACCTACCAAAAAACTGAAAAAGAGAGGAACTTCTGTGACCTTTACCCGGTCACCAAACGCTAACGGTGCGCCCGTCCGCAGCGTGTCCTGTGCACACACACCTGGAGTCGCGCACGCGCTGACATATCGCCCCTAAAGGCTCCAGCTGAGTCTCCTAGGAGAGGGACGTCCCCTCGCTTCACCGCACATCGTCATCACTTCCAAGAGACGTGACGCCGATGTGAGAACCTGATGCGTGCGTGCTCTGTTTTTCCACTTCCCCAACGGTCTCAAAACCCTGCCTGGCAGCCTCTCCCCGCAGCCGGGACCATCGGCCTACTGACGTGCCTGTGATGCTCCTGACACTGGGGACCGTGCAGGCCTAGGCGGCCCCGAGAGGCCCTCCACCCATTCGCAGGTTATGCTGCCTCCGATCCCAAGCCCTCGAGGTCCCCTCTGGGCCCCTGGGTAGGGGAGGGAACTGCCAGGAGCAGGGCAAGTGTCCCTGCCACACGCCGCCCCTTTAAGGCCCAGAGGCCAACCACGTTCGAGTGCTGCTCACCTGCAGTGTGGACAGATGCGTGACCTTGTGAGTCAGTGCCCCGATCCGGTCATCGCCCCCACACACCTTCAACCCAGGCTCCAACTTGACCAGCTTCTCGTTCCCACCAGCGTGGTCCCTGGAAGTTGGAAAGGAGACCTGGGCTCCTGCTCATGGGAGGGGCCCGCTTGCTTTTAAACCCCGACCAGATGTTCTTTCCTGGTTACCTTCTCAGAAGCGGGAACGCATCTCCCAACACAGGAAACTGGCCTCAGTGTCATTTGGCTCCACTGAAAAGAACGCTCTCAGATACGCCATTCCCAAACGAGGCACTTCTGTGCCCCTGCCCTGTTGCGGGAGAAGCTTCTGGAGCGACCGACCCAAATCACAAACACCTGGATAATCCCCAAGCCCCCAGCTCCCAAGCTCTGGGCACATAAGAGTCGCCAGACGATCTGTAAGAAGCACCAACTCCTGGCTCCTGCCCTGCTCCTGACGCCGTTGGCCGGGGGGCGGCTGGCACAGCGGGAGTTTCAAAGGCCCCCTCGTCCCAGTTTGGGACCCACCGCTCTGAGCACACAGGCCCACCTACAGTTACACCCAAAAGAATAAGATATCCAGGAATAAACCTAGCCAAGGAGATGAAAGGCCTGTACTCTGAGAACTATAATACACTGAACAAAAGTGTTTGCAAGAAGTGGAGTAGGAAAACAAAATCGCTAAAATTTCGATACTACCCAAAGCAATCTACACGTTTAACTCAATCCCTATCAAAATAACACCAGCATCCTTCACAGAGCTAGAACAAACGATCCTAAAATCTGTATGGATCCACAAAAGACCCCGAATAACCAAAGCAACCCCGAAGAGGAAAGCCAAAACTTCAAGCTTTATCACAAAGCTGTCCTCATCACGACAGTATGGTACTGGCACAAGAACAGACACTCAGATCAGTGGAACAGGACAGAGAACCCAGAAATGGACCCACAAACAGATGGCCGACTCCTCTTTGACCACGCAGGAAAGAACATCCAATGGAATAAAGACAGTCTCTTCAGCAAGTGGTGCTGGGAAAACTGGACAGCAAACATGAAGAAAAATGAACCCGGACCAATTTCTTACACCAGACACAAAAATAAACTCAAAATGGATGAAAGGCCTAAATGAAGACAGGAAGCCATCAAAATACTCGAGGAGAACACAGGCGGTAACTTCTTTGACGTCAATCAGAGCAACTTCTTACTACACACATCTCTGGAGGCAAGGCAAACGAAAGCAAAAATTGGGACCTCATCAAGATAAAAAGCTTCTGCACAGCTAAGGAAACAATCAACAAAACTAAAAGGCAACTGACAGAATGGGAGAAGATATTTGCAAATGACATATGAGATAAAGGGTTGGTATCCAAAATCTATAAAGAACTTATCAAACTGATGTGCCTGTGATGCTCCTGACATAGGGGACCGTCCAGGCCAAAACACAAATAATCCAGTGAAGAAATGGGCAAAAGACACAAACAGACACTTCCCCAAAGAGGACATCCAGATAGCCAACCGACACATGAAAAATTGCTCGACATCACTCATCATCAGGGAAATGCAAATCAAAACCACAATGACGTATCGCCTCACACCTGTCAGAATGGCTCACGTGAACAACTCAGGCAACAAGAGACATTGGCGAGGATGCGGAGAAAGGGGAACCCTTTTTGGTGGGAATGCAAACCGGTGCAGCCATTCTGAAGAAAAGTATGGAGGTCCCTCAAAAAATTAAAAACAGAACTACCCTACGGCCCAGCAGTTGCACTGCTAGGTATCTATCCAAGGGATACAAGAACACCCCAATGTTTATAGCAGCATTATCTACGACAGCCAAGGTAAGGAAGCAGCCCAAGTGTCCTCTGACTGATAAATGAATAAAGAAAATGCGATATATTTATGTGCGTACACACACACAACGGAACATTAGTCATAAAAAAGTATGAACTCTTGCCGTTTGCAACGACACAGATAGGTCTAGAAAGTACAATGCTAAGCAAAATAAGTCAGAGAAAGACAAATACCGTGTGATCTCACTCAAATGTGGAATTTAAGAAACAAAACAAACGAGCAAAGGGAAAAACAAATCGGGGGGTGGGGTGGGGCAAGCCAAGAGACAGACTCTTAACTACAGAGAACATACTGATGGTCACCAGAGGGGGCGGGGGAAACAGGATGGGGATTAAGAGTGCGCTTGTCGTGATGACCTCCAGGTGACGTATGGAATTGCTGAATCACTGTACCGTACACGTGAAGCTAACATAACACTGTACGTTAACTGGAGTCAAAATTAACACTTCAGGGGTGCCTGGGGGCTCAGTCAGTTAAGCATCCGACTCAGGCTCATCAGGTCATGGTCTCACGGTCATGGGATTGAACCCTTGTGGGGCTCTGCATAGGATTCTCTCTCTCTTCTCTCTCTCTCCCTCTGCCCTCTTCCTCACTCATGCTCTCTCTAAAATAAAATGTTAAAAATTAAAATATTAAAAACTTTAAAACACAAACACTTATATCTAAACAAACAAACAAATAGACACACACACACACGGGCAGAGGCAGAGAGCAAGCTGGGGCCAGGCCAGCCCTGGACACACGCCCCCCCTGCCCCACCCCCACCCTGCAAGGGATTCTAACCTCAGCCAGGACACTCCTCCAGGGCTCCCAGCGCTCAATGGGGGCAGCCTGACCTGCGCTTCAGAAACAGGAAAAGAGTTCCACCCCTGGCCTTGTGGGGCTGGAACCACACCAGCGTGAGCCCAGGGCCCTGACCTCGGAGCAGGGCTAGTGTCCCAACACCAGATCAGCCTTCCCAGGACAAGGCGAGGGCTGCGGATGGCCAGAGAGCGCCTGCTCCTCACCACACATTTATCTACGGAGTCCTCCGGGGGCCCAGACACGGCAGAGCCCAGAGATAACGGGGGCGGGCCCTTCCCCCACCCCCAGGTCAGCTCCACACAGGCCAGCGTCCCAGCACTGTCCCCCACTGACCTGCAGAAACACCTCCGCCTCCACCGAGGAGAGCGAGGACAGTGAGAGAGGGAGGCGCCTACGCCCTGGGGCTCAGCCTGGGACCCAGTTTGGGATCTTGTGTTCCAACACAAACGGGTGAAAAACCTCAGAGCATCGCAACATCAGAAAAGTGATGTGGTGGTTACTTGGCGTAGGAGAGAGGCCGCAGCCCGCGGGGCACCTTCCAGAAAGAGCAGCTGGCTGGGCAGCGGCCAAGGGCACGGCAGTAAACCCAACCGTCCGCACCAGGAATTAACACCTGACGCCCCCATAGACTCTCAGCGGCTTAGTTACATCGACCGAGAAGGTGCCACCACAGAGCAAACTCTGGCCGACCCACGTGCCCAGGACACTCCCACGGGGAAGACGCCCCACGCAGACTCAAGCGCAGCGGCAGCCTCGGGGACGGGCTGTCAGGGGTTGGCTGCCCTCAGGCACTTGATTAGAAAAGAAAATGAGCCAAATAAAGATTTTTTCCAGCTGAGAAGAGACTCAAAAGTTTCAAAAACCCCACAGGAGGGTCTAAAGCCCAAACACAAGTGCTCCTTTCATCCTTTTCCCTTCAAATTTCAAAAACCACAACCTCTCCAAATACCCCTGCTTGATTTTTAAAAACACTAACGTCTAGTTTCTTCCCCGACATCAAAGCCGGTCTCCCATCACACAAGCCCAAGGGCCTTCAAAGATGCGGCTGGAGGTCCTCCCCACAGAGCCCCGGAGTTAGCAGAGCCCGTGGCCGGGGCCAAGGTCGAGGGGCAGCAGCCCGGAGGCTGGCGCCCTCGAGTCCTCTCACGGTCCCACCGGGGCCAGCCCTCGGCTGCGCAGAGGATACAGCTGGGAGGGGACGGCTTCTGGGGACCCCGACGCCCCAGGCCTCCGCCTGTGGGAGGGTCCAGGGAGCCTGCAGGTGCCGACCCCCACGGACGCCAGCCTGGGGCGTACAGGCCCAGGCAGCTCGACTGACATGGAGGTAGCTCGGGCTCCAGAGCTTACCAGTGGTGGTGGGTGGTGAGCACTGTGGTCAGCTTCACGCCGTGCTTTCTCACCGTTTCTACGACCTGCAGCCAAACGTGAAACAAGACATGGGCCACGGCCACGCTCCCAGCACTGGCTCCAAAGCCCGCGGCGGTGCCAGCGGGACCCAGGGTTTGCCGGGAGGGGCTGGGCCCTGACCTGACCCTGCCGACCTGTGCCCCCCCGCCCCCCAACACCCCTCCAGCAGCGCAGGGCAAAGGTGGCCTTTTTCTCTCACGCAGCAAGTGGCAGCTCCGTGCCAGCCACAACCTGAGCCCCTCCAGACGATGTCGCCGCCCCCAGAGGCAGTGCGGAGGGACAGCAAGCCTCGTGGAAGGGCGGGCAGGCTGAGGGGGGCTCCTGCTCCCCGCCCCCCACCAGGGACCTTACAGACGGAAACGCACTTCTCTCCACACCCCAGCCTTTGCCGGCCCCACCCCTCCCTGGCCTTCCACCCCACAGCAGAGTGGCCGGACACTAGTTCAGTTGTTTTTCAAAACCAAATGGATTAATTTCAGTTTAGCTTCGGCCAAGCCGCGAGGACACTGCAGATAGGAACCCCGGCGGGGGACAAACACGCAGCCCTGGGGCCTCCCACCTTCTGAGGCTGCACCGGGTCCACGATGGCGGCCTCCTTGGTCTCGCCGTCGATGATCAGGTACATGTAGTTGTCGGTCAGCGCGGGCAACAACTCGACCCTCAGGGTTCCCTGGTCCATGGTGGAGCTCTTCCTACAGTCCGTGTGATGGAGAAGGACGCCCAGCAGGGCCGGACCTGAAGACAAAGGGCAGCCCCGGTCAGCGTCCACAGGAGGCCGCGCCAGGCTGACACGGCACAGGAGCCCTGGCGTCCTGATGCCACGACCTGGGGAAGCGACAGCGAGCAACAGAGCGTGAGGCTCGCCGTGTCTGCTTCTCTGAGTTCCTTTGGTAAAGAAGAAAATATCCTCACTTTACCATATCCGCAAGGAAAATACAGAAAATTATTCATGTGCATATTCACAAATCATTTCTCTCAGACCATGATCCTTATTTTCTTTCCTGCGGGTTCCAAGAGGACAGAAGGACCAGCTTGTGGCTGTGATCAAATCACCGTCAGCTGTGACCGCCGCTCGTTCTGGGTGCTCACACCTGACTCAGACCAGGAAGAGAGGAAGCCCGAGGGCACATGCCCAGCGGGACTACGTTTCAGTGCCCCGCGGCCCAGCTAACGGAGCCTCAGTCACACAGGCTCACCGCCCCTCCCAGGCCTCCAGCCAGAGAAGAGAACAATATTCACTTTCAAAGGGCAGAACTGGAAGTCTGGATAACCCCCAAAACCCACCAGGGGCCACCAGGGTTCCAGATTCAAGTGTGCAGGAGACGGAATCACCATCTGTTGAGCCACAGGACCCCGCCAGGGCAAGAGCCAAAAGCATCCTCCACCAGGGAGTCAGGTGCCAAGATATTTTCAACAAACTTATTCAACCTAAAAATTCACAGAGGCGCCAACAATACTCTAAGTCTTAACGCGAAAAAAGATCAGCACCACTAAAGGTGACAGGACCTGGCCGTGAAATTCTGGGGTCGGTACTGGGATGGGGGGCCTCTCCCTGAAGGGATCCAAAACGCAGGCAGCACCAGCTGACTGACGGACCGCGGCCCCAGGGGCAGTGGCGTGCTCATGGGGAGACTGGCCGAATCGCAGCTTTAAAGGGGACACCAAGTATCCAATTCCCCTTTCCTCTGACAAGCGGCTGGCATTTCCCCGGCCCTTCTCGCCCACGGCAAAACAAACATTTCTGTATCACCCAGTTTCT